GATGGAATTTTAAAGGCGGTCAGTGATGACCAAGGGATCAAATGGGGATCAATAGTCAAATATATACGGGTAATTGACAGGCAGAATAAAGATACCATTCATTTAAAAAAAAAGACAAAGAAAAGGAAAAAATAATATCTTATAATAGGTAATTGTCTGTTGCTGAATCATGCGGTAAGGAAGTGTCTTGCTGTATCATGCAGTTGTTGCATCATGCAGGTTGTAATGCTGTATCATGCAGTAAGGAAGAGGTCACGTAAGATAAATATGAGGGGAAATACGCATAAGTTATTTAATATACCTTAAAAATCAATAATGCTTACAAATAAACTTGTAAATTTATTATTTATGCCTAAATTTTATGCAAAAAGTGTCATATAGAAAAGTAAGACGTAGAACCACAAAAAAACGCAACAACAACAAAAAAAAAAATATATATATATATATATATATAAAAAGATCAGACGCTCGAAAAAAAAAAAAAAAAAAAAAGAAGAAGAAGAAAGATGTTATTGTCCGCTTCTAAGGAATTGAAAATTTGAATGCCCCAGCAGGACTCATAGAAAGGCTATACAGCAATATATCTGATTTTGATATCATGATGCAAGAAGCATTGATTGCATTGATGGAGGATGTTCGAGCGCAACTTTAATTCAAAACACTTGTGTTAGTTATGTCCTGGAATTTAAAAGTCATCCAAGAGAGATATCCCCAAATAAAAGTTGTTACCGAATAACATTATTGACATTTACCTTTTCTTACCTAACAGAAGCAGGCTTTCTATAATTTCCTACAGAAAACGAGAAATAGGCTGAATATTTTTAACGAGACGATTTAAGAATTAAGCAGTTTTATGTCAACAATTAAAATAATTGCATCAGTACATCAAGCGCAGCCTTCACATTAATTAAAATGAACCTTTCGTACAATTAAAATCTGTGATTTTGTTTCTGAAAACTTATTTAGATTTGTAAAATTTAAAATAATAATAATAATACAAAACATAATAAAACATAAATATAATAAACCATTTTTTTCAAAACTTTTGTTCATATTCTTAGTCTAATTGTTATCTTTAAGTTATATATGTGCAATTATTTGTATTATGATTATGATGTGTGCTGCATATTATAGACAAAAATGTAAGAGCGCTGATTCAAGAAAACAATTTTTTTAAAAGGGGTTAAGAAAAACGTTGCTTTAAAAGTCCCTGCGTTTAGATGTTTAGTAAATAATTCCGAAAGTTAAAGGGACAACTATAAACCTGTAACAATGCTAAATAAGAATGTTGTTGTGACTAATCTCTCTTGTCTGATATCAGAATAAGCCCATGAAATTCATCGTCGCAAGGAGGCAAGTTTGCGCCTATCGTTGGCAAGAGCCTTGGGCACCATACAGAGTGTAAGACTTTGCTCAGTTCAGAAAGTCTTTGCTCAGTTCAGTAAGACTTTGCTCAGTTCAGTAAGACTTTGCTGAGTAAGTAAGACTTTGCTCGGTTCCGCCCCCAGTTTTGAAGGAGAGCACTCCGAGGAGACGGGTCCAAGTGTCTTCCATACCTCTTTCCCTAACACCAACCTCTCGAGGGGACTTTCACTTCGCCGTATATTTAGAGTGCCCCCATGCCGCGTAGACACTATACACTTACAAGCATCAATGCTTTCTTCAGGATTCGAACCCGGGTCTTTTTGTACGGCAGTCAGAGTCACTAACCACTATATTGATTGGGGTGCAAATAAAAATGTACTGCAGTGTATTAAATTTATTTACTACGATGCAGTTACATATCTGCATTCCTTAAAAGAATGAGGGATCTTCTTTTGAGTTTTTTAATTCTGTTCAGCCTTTGGCTATGCATCTGTTTTGTTCTGATCTTTAAAATCAGGCTAATTTTGACAAGTGGAAATGACTAAATTTTATATCAAAGTATTGAAAAATATAGTAATTTTTTAATACAGTTTACATGAAAAAGAACTTCAGAATTTCCCCTCTATTTTCATTAGAACCACGGAAAGAAAATAATATGAAACGTAATAAAAATTATTGCAATTATCGTTCTAAACTGTTGAACGGGTCTTCGAAATACAGTTGTCAAAAATATGTTGAACATTAATAGAGCTGTAGATTAAATCCATGAAAGAATTACAAAATAATGCAGTTTATGAAAAGTAGGAAAATTTGGAACTTAAAATGTCTCGAATGTAACCCAAAATTTTAGAAGACTTCTCTTAGAACACAGACAGTAACAATGGTTGACCACTGACAAAATTCTCCAGAAAGGCAAAAATTCTTTTGGGGAGATCTGCAAAATGCTCCATTAATTTATTGCAGTCTTTGATATTTTAATATCTGGTTTCTACAAGTGACTGCTTGTGGGCAACGAAAAGTTTAATTAACGTAATTCATCATAAATTAACGTATACTGCGAAAAAAAAAAAGTTCTATATCTCCCGTTCTACTGGGCCGTTTGACGAAATTGATCTTGCGTTTTTCATGACTCGAAAGCGTGACTTAGAATATGTATTAGATTTATATATATAGCATTGTTCTAATATAGGTATTTGGACACAAAATCGGACTTTTTCTGAAATAACATACCAATATTTTTTCCATATTTCAATTCTACAACTCAAATTACGCCAAACTACCAAGTTGTGTTGTAGAGTCATTAGGTTAATTGGAAGCAGAAAAGATGAAAAATATGCAACCGCCTTCGCCAGGAATCGAAGCACGGACCTCTGGAATACCGGCCCAGCGTGTTACCGTTACACCACGAAGGCACGCTAGGGAAGTGGGTGAAATACCTTATATACTACCCTTTTTAAAGGGCGACTAGGGTTTTAGGGGACCTAGCCGCCAAATCCTACGTTCGGAGAATCATCATCCACATCCCTTTTAGTTCGGGCGCCACTTGTAGAGTTATTAGGTTAATTGGAAGCAGAAAAGATGAAAAATATGCAACCGCCTTCGCCGGGAATCGAACCACGGACCTCTGGAATACCGACCCATCGTGCTACCGTTACACCACGAAGCCACGCTAGGGAAGTGGGAGAAATACCTTATAGTGTAAAAGTCGCGCTAGTAGTTTTTAAAAAATTAGCTCTCAAAATTTTAGCTCCTCAATGCTAATTGTGTTTGGTATATATTTATTAATCTCTCTTTTTTTTTTTTATTAAGCTTAGTTAGTTCTTACTTTTACATTACGAAATTCAAGTTCTTTCCAAATGAAATTCCCCCGTTTTTTATGATTAATTTTTAAATAACTTTTATAAATTTTTTAAAAAAATTTTGAATTATAATCTATAAAATTTTTACCATCACCTTAAAGTAGATGTATTTCTAACCATACCTGCAAAAAATTCCAATTTTTTATTCAAAATTTCCGAAGATATACGTGAATTTTGGCGCGTTTTGAAATTTGACATATTTGTTGAAAGCAATGGAACATCAGATGTGGTTTAAACACTTTAAATTATTTTGAAAGTATTTTCCTAAAAGTATTCCGGAAAGAAGTATTCCCTAAAATTATTACTAAAATTATTCTCGATTATTCCTAAACTTCCTAAAATTATTTGGAAGTAGAAACGATGTGACTTTTTTTCCCGCTTATACACAATGTAAAAAGGTGGACTTTTTCCCCGCTCCCGCATAATGGAAGGGAAAGGAAAATTGGTTGCTACCATATTAAGAACTTCGCTAAGTGAATTATTCTTGACCAAACTGAAAAAAATTTCGCCAAGATAAATTTTTGAATTTCTCCGTAAATTTGACACCAAAATTTACAAAATTTAATATCTAAGCATGATTTGAGTCGTAGAATCGAAATATGGAAAAAAAATTGGTATGTTATTTCAGGAAAAGTCTGATTTTGTGTCAAAATACCTATGTTAGAACAATGCTATATATAAATCTAATATATATCCTCAGTCACGCTTTCGAGACATAAAAAACGCAATTTGAGTTTTGCCAATCGGCCCTGTAGAACGGGAGCTATAAAACTGTCCTCCCTTTTTTTTATCCCCGCAGCGTACATCTTGAAGATATCCCCAGTAGAACGGACATATATTTCGCAGTTTACGATTTTGTCACTCAATATACATATATATGTATGTTTACTCTCACTGATTTCATACGTTGTACATTACCGGTTTCGATTCAGCCGGGTTTGCTAATTTAATCCCACCCCCCATCGGAACTCCGATAAGTATACCAAATCTTCATATTGCAGTGGATATTACACACTTTGTAAACCGCTTTATATCTATTCCCTAACACTCTCGTTGCCTAATATGGTTGTTGCAGATGTTATTTAACACAATCTCATTTATTAAGCTGTCAAGCATACTGAGCCTCTATGCTCTCACTGCATTGTATATAATTTGCACAACCATTACTAATTACTCTCTTTGCAACAAAACATATGCAACTGCTTTTATAGAATAAGTAATTTTAAAGGGTGTAATATAAAGATGTGTTAAAAAAATTAGAGAACGCATGATACGAATTCGGAAGATAGATTTTGCTGTGTTTTTAATTTAGAATTTTGCAATAATTCACACATAATAATTGTCTAATTATAAAACGAAGCAAAACTGAGTAGTCAGAGTGCCTGTCGATTATAATAGTTTGCCCTTAATGTTTTTCTTTTTTTGAAATAAAATTGTTTAAAAAATTTGCCGGGAGTCACATTTGTCGAAAAATTTTAAATTGTAACAATAAAACTTAAAAAAATTAAAGAGTGAAAAATATTACGAAGTCTCGTACTATAGCAAGCAATACGAATATCTCGTTTAAAATCACTCTCTTTATTTTTGCTCGGGGCAAAAGAATCGCTGGGAGAATCTAATAAATAATATAAAATAATAATAGGAAAAAAAAAAAAAAAAAAAAGCGCGCGTCACTCACCTCACGAAGGCAATGGAATCGTCCCTTTCTCCCGACATGCATCGCGCAGATCTGCGAACACCCGGCTCTATCGCATGCTTGAGCACAACAGTCGGGGTTACTGTTGGTTGAGCAGTAGCATCTCTACTGCTGGCTAGCGAAACCGATTTGACCGGCTTCATTCAGCTTTCGCTGTTTTATCTTCAATGTTTTGAATTAGACTTTGAGAACTTTAGATGAATTTTTATCGAACCAAATAAGTCTGCAGCTCATATTATTATGAATTTAGTCTACATTTAATAGCTTCTCGTTGGGGCAGGCAAGGGATACCCTTTTCATCAGGTAAGTTTGCTCACGTGATATTAAAGTTTGGGGTCACTAGACTCCTTTTGCAATTATACTTCTAGCCGCTTCCCCAGGCGGTTCCTTAAGTTGCCCTGGACCATTTGGGTCAATAGTTGGAAACTTTCGCTACTCTTTCTATGCAACATTTGGCTGCCTGTTGAACTCACAAATATTATCATTACGCTAATAAAAATAGTTTAGGATGTAAAAAATATGTGTCGTCAAATTATATGGAATTTTATTAAGTTACATATACTAAAATGACTTTATGAATATATAATATTTTTATTCTAAAATGTCAAATATTTTTTGAGTTGCAATATACCATTAATAAAATGTATAACTTAGTAAATTAAATATTATTCATATTATAAATTAATAAATGAATTGAAACGTTATTAATTTGTGGTCCCTAAATAAATGCCATTCAGTTTCGTAAATTTTAGATTTGCAGTTTTCGAGCATTAATTGTTAGAGTTTACAACAGAGAGAGAGAGAGCATATTATTTAAAGATGTACACTGAAAGAAAGAGTTTTTTTTATTTAAAAAAAATGAGGGTAATTTGATTTGCAATGAGGACATGAAAAAAGTATATTATTTTTAATGTTCAAGAGAATGTCTGTAAGGTATTTTACAATTTGTTAGTTAATTACTGTTAGAATCACTTTCTATCATATGTTAATAAAAATGATTTTCATACAGTATTGAAAAGAAGTTTTAAAAGTATAAAATTTATTACAACGGATATTTATTACCTTTATCCTTCCATGCTGTTACTATTTAACGTAAAAAAACTCTCATCATTTTTATTTTCCCATGATGGTGCTATGTAAACGTAAACCTGCTAATCTTTTTTAAAATTAGAGTAGCAGTGGAATACAGGTATATTGTTATAGACAGAATGTAACTTATCAGTATGTCTGATGATTACTTTTTCTGAGAGGATTAGGCTGGTTACTGGAGGATTATCGGAGGAGTTTTAAGCAGCTAGGATCCGTGTAATATTCATAAATTTGCGGGGCTAGTTTCGATCGGCAGACATTTAAACCTTCGGAACTAATCCTGCAAATTTATGAATATTACGCTGAATCTTACTGCTTTAACTCATACAGTAATCATTAATTCGGCTTGTTAATTTTAACTCAAATAGGATTAGGTTGGATTCGATTAATAGGTTACGGCAGAGGCTATTTGCCTACTAGACAGATTGTATATATATTTAGAAAAAGAAAAAAAAAAGTGATTTAAATTACCATCCGGATCTCAGTTATTTTTCTCTCACAAACTTGATCCAAATTTCTGCCCGATTAATATTAAAGTATGTGAACCAGTATCGTTCTGATTATGATATGTTATATGTCCTTTGGTTTTTAGCTTTGTGACATTTCAGTGGACAAATTTGTTTCCTATCATATTTCTTTTGTGTGGCTGAGTACAATAGCATTCATTACTAAGTGTGTTCATAATTTCGTTATTTTATGACATACGAATCGAAGTTGGTTTCGCTCGAAATGCCCGTAATGAACGACATTCCTCCGAGGTGTCTTTTGTTTACAGTTCATGTGTTTTATCCGCATACCTACACCTGTCTGTATGCGCATTTCTAGTTCCAAGGCATCTCTTGTAGGTTACCAATACTGAAATGATTAAGTATTGTTTACATCCCTTTCGTTATCGAGCATGTTAGTCTGTGAAATGCAACTAATTATATTTTCAAGTATGACAGATGTATTAATGCTTTTCGTAACCACCCTTTCTGAGATGAAAATCTATGTGGTACACCACTATAGTTCTGGTTACTGGAAGCAATAAAATCAAACAATGCAAGGAACATCTGTTTGTTGATAAAATCTAATAAAAGCATCTTTCAGTCCTTGCGTGGTTTTGATTTGTTGTGGAGAAGAAGTGGCGTTTTTTATAATGAGTTTTAATGATTATTAAATTGACAAAAATTTTAAATAAGTACACTTTTAAATTGATAAGAAGATAAATAATAATAATAAATATCATCAAATATGGTGAATGATAAAAGGATAAAAAGATAATGATAATGAAATTCAATAAGTATGGTACATTTTTTTTTGTGAATTTTTACAAAAAGCATTTAAATCATTTGTATTAATCTGTACATTGCTACTGAAATGAAATAGTGCGTGCTTTTTACTTGAGTTTCTGTCATGTATTAAGTAAATTGCCTATGTTTTTTATGTCATTCATCTGCATTTTCATCCCTGTTTCCTCTTCATCATTCGATGTTAATTACTGTTTGTTTGCCTTCAAATCTTTTTCGTGTTTTTCCTTCGAATTACGTAAACTGAGCCAGCTTTCCTTAAAATAGCCTTCACGAAGGCCCCCGTCCGCTTAGGCTCATAGCCCTCCTGTACTCAGCCGTATTAAAAATAACCTAACCTAACCATCCGAATCTTTTGACTCTCGATGCGCATAACAAAAGTTTTTACTTTTATTTGATTCCCTGAACAAATTTAGTTTTTTGTGTTTAACAGTGGTTTTCAAATAATGACATAATCTTTACATAAATAAGGTGTAAATCAACTAGTACTTACTTATGTCTTGCTGTTTTATGTGTCACTGACTGTGATTTAAGGCAGTACGTAACAGTATATATTGTATGTTTCATAATGTATTAAAATGTATGTAATTTATTTTATCTGTCTGCCTATATATGTATATGTGTTTGTTTTATTATATAGCCAATACTTTTGCATAAAATTTTAGCTTTTCTTAAATTTAACCCGTTCCAATTGTTTATTTTGCATTTTTCGGTGTTTAAGTAATAGGATGGCTATGTCCTCTTTTTCTTCCACTTGCGCAGTGAAAATGAATATAAGGTGTCCCAACAAAAGCTCCGATTTAATATGCCCGATAGTATACTTTATTTTTAGAAAAGGGAAAATATTTTTACATACTTACAATAACTAAATGGGCCGTTACAATAACTAAATGGGCCGATTGAAAAATATTGTCTTTGATGAGAACTGGTAACAATGGCATTTTTTTATCACTGTCAGTTCATTTCATAACTTCCTTGCAACTTCGAAGATCAGCAGCATTGAAAACATCACTGTTTTGCGTGATAGTGTTATTGCAAGCCCTAAAAAATCCGAACTTAAAAAGGGAAAAAGAAAAGATATAAAGGGAACACTGAATGTTTCGTTTTGCCGCCTCGATCGTCTGATACATGAAAACATGATTACGAATTTCATTGAGAGAGTGTGATGCTGCAGATCAAGTCGTAGAGGACATATGTCATCCATTATTTTTCATTCTTAAATCAGAATATTTACCTATTGTATGTTAAAATATCTTCCATTTTTTGAAAATAAAGTTTTTTTATTGGGCATATTAAATCCGGCACTTTTGTTGGGATATACGTACTGAAATGAATTTTCGTTTTCCCTAAAGCTGAACGATTTGCAGTTTTTTACTTTTACTTCTAAACTTCGGGAGAAAATTTTATATCCATTTTTCTTACCAGCAATCAAATTTGGATCTTTAATTCAAGTTAAGCGATTTTACTGCTAGAGCTTACTGATACTGAGATCTTACGTCCTAATTCTCTTTTTCCCCCCACATCTTTTACACGAACGCAGAAAAAGAAATTCAAATATAAATTTCTCTTTTTCTTCCATCTCGTATAGTTCTCCTTTTTTAATGAAAATCATTAAATTTACGCTTAATAGCTAAACAGCCAAGATAGATATGCTTGATTTTAAAATAAATTTTTTTTTATCAAAATGTAAGTAGTAAGTTTATTCAACAATATGGCCAATTTTAAATTTCTGTATTTATGAAAACGCTTACCTATTTCGTGAGATTGCTGCTTCTCTTTATCAACCTATATTTGAAACTTAAAAAAAAGTTGGAGGATGGAATATTTTTTCCTCATAAGTGGAACAAAATTTAGTTGTCCAGGTGGCATAACATCCTGTATCACATTAAAAAAATACGATAGTTAATGAAACAAATGCATAAAGAGCTTGGTTTCGTTGTACGAGGAAAAATGAATACGGCTCGATATGAAGCAAAATTCAAAGTGTACAAATGTCGAATGCTTTTTCAGTAAAAAAAAAAAAAAAAAAAAAAAAAAAAAAACGAGTTAAAAAGAGATCTAAGTCAAAGGAAACCTTTTTTCAGGTAAGATTCCCCGGTTCTTTGATTATATGATAGAACTGTTATAAACTTGTGGGTCGTACGAGTAAGACTGACTTGCGTTTAGATATAAACAAAATAATTAAGTTTCTGTATAGAAATTCGGTACCAGATGCTCCTTTTGTACCAAATATGAATCCTTCTTAGAATTTTTTATGATTATCCGATTCCCCACCCCCTTCTATAGCTGCTTGTCAGTTTTAGATGAAAGTAAAAACTGTAATCAAGCTGTTACTCTAATTGACAGTTTCTGTGAAATGGTATCCCTTCCCTATGTAAATAGTTCTGCAGAATGTATTTTAAAGCCATTGTTAATGCAGAGAACTAAGAAAGGATCACAATTCATTCAGAATCCCTTCATTGATAGTGCTGCACGGAATCTCTTCCCTGGTATTGATGATGTATTGTATTCTTTACATATGTTACCAGCAAATAATGAAATCCGGCATTTTATAGAATATCTAGGCATTTTATAGAATGCCAAAAACTGGCCGGCCAACGTACGAAACGATTAAATATTTCAAACATTGCCTAGGCATTTTATAGAATGCCGAATAAGAAACCGACAAAGTATGAAATCATCTCCGTATTATTTACAGTGCCTAGGGAAAGTATATAATAATTCATACAATATATTGGCAGTCGTATGAGGTATTTCTCCCGCCTTCTTAGCATGCCTTCGTGGTGTAGCGGTGAGCACGCTCGACGCGTATTTGAGAGGTCTGTGGTTCGAGTCCCGGTGACTTCCAAATAACCTAATGCAGTGGCGCCTGAACTAAAAAAAGGTGGTGATTCTCCACCGCCAAGATCTGGCGATTGGGTCCGC